AGGGGGAGAGGGAGAGGGAGAGAGAGAGAGAGAGAGAGAGAGAGAGAGAGAGAGAGAGCATGCACTTGATACTGAGATACAAGGCTGAGCACCTGTGATACTCCTTGTAATGGAACAAAACCACCACCAGAGGGTACTGAAGGACCAGGATCCTGAGATCGGACCGGTTCCAGCGGTTCATTTCAAAGATCAAGAGGAGGGCTGGCCAATGGCAACACCGTGCTGCGAGACTCTGAGCAGCAAGGTCAAGAATCCACGCTGCTTTTATATGAATTCGGGCACCGATCCCGGTTGCCATTGTGCATCACAGCAAGGCCTCGCAGTTTTCGTCTCGCCACGCCCATCCCTGACCGGTGACTTGAGTTGCCTGCGGCCAGCTGCCATAGGCCTGCTTGCGGGGCGGGAGAGGGCGTGGCCTACTGCGGTCCACCCGGGTCAGCCACAGCCACTGTGTGGATGGACTTTGTCCTTTCTGCCGCCTGACCCGGGCCTATTTAGATCTCAGACACCGACGGCAGCTGGTAGCCAGGCAGATTGGGTGGCACTCCGCAGGGACAGCTAACAGCGCAACCCGAGTGAGCTTGAAGACCGTTCTTAGTGACTGGCTTTCCTAGTCCTGCTCCACGCAAACAGCAGAGGCATGAATTACTCACGGTTCCTCACTGCAACGAGCCTGGCCAGAAAGCCAAACCCCATCAGATCTACAGGTGAAAAACAAAGCCAGAGCCCTTTCTGCTCTGCTAGAGTGGAGTTTTCTTAACTGAAACTCCGTACGGCGCCCTGTTGCCCGGTTTTGGCGGCCAACGCTAGGTTGCGCCCATTCATTCAAGTGTAAAGAGGGATTCTTTAACTTTTGTTCACAAAGTGCTTGGACTGGAGGCAAGGCAAGGCAAGGCAATGAGTACTTTTGCTGGGGTGTTGGAGGAGATGTGCTAAAGAGCCAAGCAGGTGGCACATCTTGCAAGCAAGCTGTAGAGAAAGGCTCTACAGGGAAGACAGGACTGGGGAATGGGAACCAGAGGTGGAGCTGGGACACAGGTAGGGGCAATGGGGAGAAAGGCCTTCTGCTACTTCCCTTTTTCTTTGCCCTCCGCATTCTTCGATTTCGTCCAACAGGGAGAAAACCTAGAAAACGTTATTTTGTACTTATTTTAGACTAGCATTCTAGTCTTAGCCCAGCGTGCTGCTATGTCAGACTAGCAGGAGCCGTAATTTAATAAATAGCAAGAATACTCTCTCGGTTCTAGAGGCTGCCGTGCCCAATATCAGGTACCCAGTGAGGGCAAATCCAGATAGATGATGCTTCCCGCTGCAGCTCGGCCTCTTTTGTAAGAACACTAATTGTATTTCTGAGGGCAGAGTTGTCATGATCTAATCCCATCTTTAATATATCATATCAAGTATAGATCCTAATATAGGACGTGGTCAGAGATATTAGCACTCAGACCACAGGACCGTGGACAAAATGTTTTCTTCTTTTTCGTGTTTATCTTAGTGGAGATAATGAGTCGAGCACCCAAATCCCTCATTTCCCTGGCTCCTGGATCTCCAAACCCAAAAATGTTCCCCTTTAAGTCCGCTGCCTTCACTGTGGAAAACGGGGGCACCATCCAGTTTGAAGGAGAGGTGATCGAAAGGGCCCTCCAATACTCTCCAAGCTATGGGTAAGTGATCAATAAATGGTAGAATTATATTGGTTCATTTTCAAATGCCGTTGATGAAGCAGCTTAGTTGTTTTATTAACAGGCTGTACAATGACTGGGGTAGTTGGGAGGAGAAACTTTAAATACTAAAAGCAAAATCAGTACTAAATGCTTCGCACTCCACAGTGACTAGCTTTGAACCTTAAATAACAGGGAAACCCACAGAAACATCTAGATGAAAGTCCCGTTTGAGCTGAATATGATGCTGAAAAGAACACTGGGTGTAGCATCGTAATGTGAAGAGAGAGGAAATGTATAGAACAGTCCTTGGACAATTCTGATGTTTACTTTTTTAAAAAAATTAAATGTGGGTTTATTTTTTTATATAGAAAATAGACTATTTTCTTATATATTATATCCTGAGTATGCTTTCCCCTCCACTCCTCCATTCCTCCCCACCTCCTCTCTCCTCTGGATCCACTCCCTTTCTGTCTCTCATTAGAAAAAGACAAGCTTCTAAGAGATAACAACTAAACATGACAAAATAAAATATAAAATGAAGCAGAAACTGCCATATTGAAGATGGCTTGATGAAAACTGCCTTTATATGTTGGTGTATGTCCCCCATATCCCTAATCTCTCTAGGACTTTTATCATGAAAGGGTGTTAGATTTTGTCAGTGGGTTTTTCAGAATCTAAGGAGATGATCCTGTGGTTTTTCTCTCTGTTTATTTATATAATAGATTACATTTATTAATCTACGTATGTTGAGCCATCCTGGCAGTTCTTGGGTGAAGTCCACTTGATAATGATGAATGATTTTTTTGATGTTTTCGTGAATTCAGTTTACAAGTATTTTATTGAGTATTTTCATGTCTATGTTCATAATGGATATTGGTCCATAATTCTCTTTCTTTGTTGGGTCTTTACGTGGTTTGGATTTAAGTGTGAGTGTGGCCTCATAAAATAAATTTGACAACATTCTTTCTATATCTATTTTGTGGAATAATTTTAGGAATATTACATTAACTCTTCTTTAAAAGTCTGGTAGAATTCTGCCCCTGTACAATATTAGGGCTGGGATAGTTTCAAAGACTGTTTCTGTTTCAGTGGTGGTCATAGGTCTGTGTAAATTGCTCATCCGATCTTGATTTAACTTAGGTAAGTGGTACTTATCAAGAAAATTATTCATTTCTTTTAGATTTTCCAATTTGGTGGAGTACAAGTTTTTGAAGTATGCTTTCATGATTCTCTGGGATTTCTCAGTATCTGTTGTAAGGTCCACTTTTTATTTCTGATTTTATTAGTTTTTATATTCCCTCTCTGCCTTTTAGTTAGGTTGGATGAGAATTTGCCTATCTTCTTGATTTTCTCAAAGAACCAGCTTTCTGTTTCATTGATTCCTTGAATTGTTGACATCATTTCTACTTTATTGATTTCAGTTTGATTATTTCTTGTCATCTTCTCCTCTTGGGTATGCTTACTTCTTTTGGTTCTAGAGCTTTCAGGTACGTTGTTAAGTTGCTACAACGAGAACTCTCTAATTTTTTAATGTAGGCACTTAGAGCTTTAAACTTTAATTTTAGCACTGCTTTCATTCTGTCACATAAATTGGGATATGCTGCGCATTCCTTTTCATTGAATTCTAGAGTGTGATAGTTGTGTGTTGCCTGTTTTACTGGCCTATTCAGCTGGTATGTCCTCATAGAATACCTGCTGGTCCTGAAGGCTGAGAGGCAGTGATGAGTGGGGAAAGAGAAAGTTAGGAGGAGATGGTCTGTGGACACAGGACAAGTGGGCAGCAGGGTCAGGGGGAGCTGCAGGAGTGATCATCACAGTGCTAAAGACAAGACTGAGGGATTGAGTCTGGTGGAACAGAGACAGCTGAGAAAGTCTGCCTACCAGGTTCTCTGCCAGGTGTCATGATGTTTCCTTTTAGACTTGGCTTCAATAAATTCTAACTGCTGAACAGCAAACTCAACCATTTACCCCAAGACTTCCTTTAGCTAGTCTTCTTCCAATGATAAAGGCTAATTTATTGATTCTTTATGTAATATTTTATTAAATGTATCTGTGGCCAGGTACAATGGAATATGAATCAGTTGAAAACCAGCCTGGGCTATGTATACACAGTTAAAGGAACAAAAGGTCTTCTGTTTGATGAGTTTACTGAAATCATCCTATTAATGTGCACATGAATTGGGTAAATATCTAGCTTATAATAATCTTCCTAATGTAACAAAGACTCTACTACGTAAAGAATGTCCTAGGGAAAAACAAAGCCTTCAGGCTTCAAATTAAATAGGGTGTAGATTCAAGCTTGGCTTGTGGATTAAACGACTGGCTTTATGTGAATTTCTGGCTGATTGAATTTATGTGAATCTCTTAACATCTAACTCGATTGCCTCATTTTTTAAGTGAGAACCTGATACTGCTGAAAGGCATTTGAGGGATTTTTAAATTGAATGTATAATGAGCCTGATATTGAGCCTCTATTTCTTCCCTGCCTACTATTTCTGTGATTATTATGACCATAAATTTTAAAATGCATTGTATGCCTTAGAATTCCAGAACTTCTGTCCTGGCTAAAACAGTTGCAAATAAAATTGCATAATCCCCCCACTGTCCACTACCCACCCAATCAAGGACAGATGGATCTCTGCATCACATCCGGCTGCCAAGACGGTCTTTGTAAGGTAAGAATGGAAGGACAAAGAAAGCTGTGTGTGAGTCGAGCTCACTCCTGAATGTGGTCCTCTCCCACGAGCTACAGGGGAGACATGATTTATGGGCTACTAGTGGCTCTTTGTTTTGTTGTTTTGTTTTTGTCTTCACCTAGGATAATAAATGGGAAACTTGAAGTCAAAAGATAGGATGGGAGGGGTGAAGGCCAAGAGAAGGATTGACTGCACACACAAGCCAAGTACACATGGTTTGGGTTAGTCAATTGACATTAGAAATCAAAGTAACTTTTTCTTTTTGTGTTTAGAAAAGGAAAACGAATTAGCTGCTGAGTAGGTTTTAGCTAGAAGAGAAACATTCATGATTCTATGGATCCATCTCTCCAAGATATGACTTTCTTTCAAAAAGCATACGGTGACTTTTCCTTGTGGAAAGAGACAGGAAACCGTATCTTCATTATCTGTTATAATCCCAGTCATACCAAAGAATGAAGTTAGTATAAGTGACTCTATTGTGGAGGCCATGACAATAATCTGATTTAGTATTTGCTCCATGTGTCCATGGCAGCTGCTGATTTGCCTCCTTCACTTCTGTTTAAGTGAATTAACCTCATTTCTATCTGGCTGTGTCAACAATAGATTTTTCATTTCTCTTATTTTTAGTTTATTCTTGGAGAATTTTATATATACGAGGATATATGATCGTATCCCACCCTGTATTTCCTTCCTCCAATTCTCCTAACCTACAAATACATCTTCCTCCCAATTTCACCTTCTCTGTCTCTCTCTCTCTTTTTTTAATAACTGGCTAAGTCCAACTAATCTTCACCTATGTGCTCATGGGTGTGGAGCCATCCACTGAAGCATTGGAAATTGCCAGTGGACAAAGACACCAGGAAAATGATCCCCTCTCCCCAGCAGCTGTTAACAGGCACTAGCTCCTCCACTCTCGGTGACCCCTTGGGAGGTCACCCCTTCTAATCTCCATCCTTTAGTTAGTGCCACAGCTGAGGAGCAGCTTCCCCTTTCAACTGGGACACTCGGTGTTTATAGCACCACCCCACCAACCATGGAACATTTACATGATGAACTGATCCTTTTATTTGTTTTTAAGACACATGTCAGTCACTCAGCTGATATCCTTAGCGGCAAGCTATCTTGTAAAGGCAGAGTCCACTGGGAACTTTTGGGGGGAGTATGTTTTCTATAGGATGTCAAAAGCTCAGAAAGAAAAATAAATGAAGCACCAGGCCACGTTAGAGAACGATATTTAAGTCTTCCAGCTCAATTGAAAATAGCCCCAATTTTTAGTTAATATTTAATAGCCTATGGTATGTAGGCTATTAAACTGACAGGAAGAAAGACCTGAAGCAGGGACTGTGATCCAGCAGACAGTAAGGAGGGATTATTCTGTGACTTGTGTACAGTTGAGTCATACTAACCCAACATTTGGACTGCAAAAGTGTCTGCCTGTGACGAACAACATCAGAGGTCTTCACAGTCCACACCACCAAGCCTTGGTCATTACTGTTTAGCAGCACTGACCACTTCATGCTTTTTTGACACTCCAACTCGCTCAGTGTGTGGCTCTCCTCCCTCAGACTTGTGTGGCCTCCTTTACATACCCTCCTTTTCAGCTTAGCTCTGATTTCTTTGAGTAGATCTACAGGCTGCATCTGGGTGTCTTTGTTCAAGCACATTCCCACCACATTCATGCTCTTTCCAAATGCATTTGTCCATTCTTCTATGTAACACTGTAGAAGGATGCTTAAAGGAAGAAAATCAAATGAACAACCACCATCTAAACAACTCATCCACTTGCTCAGATATGGGTAACACCTTGGCCCTTTGTCTAAGTGGTTGGCACTGAAAGTCTTCCGCTCTTCTTCCTCACTCCTCTAAAGCCCATGAGCATGCCTCATTGGTTTTCCTTTCCTAAACACCTCGCAGGCCTTCCCTACAGTTCCACCTCTGTACCTGAGTCTATCCCTAGGACTTATCAATCACTTACCAAATACTCCTCCAAACTGTCTGCCTGTTTCTCCCTTTTATCATTTTATGCTGCAGTCAAAATAATCTTCCTGACAATGAGACCCTTCCTCTCCTTTCTTAAAGTCCCCCCATGACCTGAATACTTACATGATGTAGTCTCTGTCCAAACCTTCTCTCTCTCTCTCTCTCTCTCTCTCTCTCTCTCTCTCTCTCTCTCTCTCTCTCTCTCTCTCTCCCCCACCTACCTCCCTCCCTCCCTCCCTCTCTCTCTCCTTCAATCCCTCCCTCTCTCTACCTTTCCCCTCCTCTCCCTCCCTCTCCTCCTCTTCACAGACCACTTCAAGTCTTCCCGTTTGCAAAAAGGTGCCAGCTGTCACTTCTCCCCCATATACACCTGGACATCACTTCCTCGTGGAAGCCTTTCCTGGGTTCTCTGAATGCCCAAGTCCTGCAAGGAGACGGCCATATTGGGCACCTGATCCCCAAAAGCACTTGCTACTGATCGTGCCTTCTCTATTTAGATAATTATCTGATTGGCTTCTAGCTCCCCCAGAGGATCAGCAACCTCATGAGAGTGAGAACCTGGTCATTTTGCCAAGGATTTTATTTCCAGTACTCTTCCCTGGTCTGATTCATAGTTGACAACTAACACATTTTTCAAGAAGCAGTAAAAGGAATACATGAATTTTAGGAGCCAAACCAGTTATGTCCTTTTCCTCATTTTACCCAGGTTAGCTAACTAGTCCACAGCAAAATACAGACCAATAGCTAAGGAGGTTAAAAAAAAGTTTTATTGGCACTCAGATTTACTTACACATTGCTTGTGACTGCTCTCTCACAGTAGGAGCAGAGGTGAGCAGATGCAACAGAAACACTGTGGCTCACAAAGTAGGTATTGCCTGGCCCTTACAGAAAAATGTCCAATTCCTCCCCAGATCCTGGAAGTACAAAAGAAAAGATATTCTGAGAATGGGAGCCATTCTGTCTGAACTAACCTATGCTTTTTTTGTTAGGCATTTGAAATGCTCATCAATCCTGGAGACACTATCCTCATCAATGAACCACTGTTTTCAGGAACACTTTTTGCTGTAAGTACATATTTTTATACAACAGCAAGTTCTTGCATCCCTTTAGACTATCTATAACCTCAGAGATGTGTTATAAAAAAGTTTTCTTCCTTTGCAATAAAGCTTAATAGTGGCATGTGTTTAAAACTTACATAGTTTCTTACATGAACAGCTATTTGATCTCCAATCAGTCTCAGTCTAGTCAGTAAAGTCACTTTCATTATAGTTTATCATTATGCTTGATTTTGTGTGACATCTGAATTCTGAGTGTGTGATATGTTATTAATCATATTAACACTGAAACACTAAGGTCAAAAGTGCTGTTTTTTTGAAAGGCAATTTAGGGGGAACTAGGGAAACGATCTAGTGATTTAAATGTTGGTTCATGCAAGGAGAGGACAAGAGTTCAGATGTCCAGAATCCAAGGAAATTCTGGTGGGAGTGAGGCCTGCCTGCAGTTCCAGACTAGACAGTGGAGCTGCTGAATGCCCAGAGCAAGCTGGCTATCGAGACTCCGTGTGAGAAACCAATTTGACTAAGACACCCTGCCTTCATGAATAAGGTAGAAGATTAATGGAGGATTCCCCAACATCAACCTTGGGCCTATACATGCACACATGTATGTGCATTCACATACAAATGTGCACCCCACACATGCAACACAAACAAAAACAGAGGTGGTGAGGAAGGTAGAACAAGAAAAAATGTATAGTCTGTACTAAATTGCTCTTAGAGAGTCTTCGGTTTCCTAAAGTTCAGTGAAGTTGTCTGGAAGCCTGTATGTATTTTTGATGGCTTACTCTCAACAGCAACAAACTGCTACGACCATACAGTCATAAGTTTAAGGAGTGGAGGGAGAGTGTTTCTATTCCTTAGCACCAAGCAGAAATGATCTGTGTTGCAGTAAACACAGTTGTATCTATACAAGTTATGGAAAAGCAAAGAGAGATTAAAGGCTAGGTAAAAAAATTTTTAATTAGAAGGTTTAAGTAAATGGGATTATTTTGATGAAATATATTTTATGTGATCTGGATAGTTTTGGACCATATTATTAAGTTAAGCTGTGGTTGAGTTTCAGATAAAAGTGTTGGTAATTATGAGTGTGCTGTGAATCGCTTGCCATTTGTGCTTTGTGGAAATTAGTAACTTCAAATACTACATTGTTCAAAGGAGAGATGCTATCTTCCTATTCTATGCTTATGGTATAATTTGATATTCGAAATATTATATGCTATAAAGTGCACTTACATTTCCAAAGAAGATTGGAGTTTTATGCCATTTTTCTTTGAATTCACAGCAATATGAAGATATAAACAAACAAAACATAGTATCTGTCCACAACAAATTAAAATATAATATCTTGATCTGCAACCCAGAGGCTCTTAAAAGGTGTAACACACTAAACATACCCTAGTACATATATAAGATAAAATTTAAGAGTAGCAGTTTTTTCTATCTCGGCTTACTCCCAAATAACTGAGGCAGAGACCTATACATTTATTCAACAAGCTTTAAGCACAGAATTAACTGAACAGACAATCTTAACCCTCTATGCTCTCTTAGCTATTTCTCAGCAACACTTCCTGGGTTACTTGCATTTAGTCTCTCCTTGGCTTGCTCTGCTGTAGATGTCTGGCCTCATGGAGAACTCCCTTCTCACTCTCAAGCCTGACCTCAGTGACCTCCTCTTTCTCTTCCTTCTTCTTCTTCCTCCTCCTCTTCTTCCTCTTCTTTCTTCTTCTTTCTCCTCTTCCTCCTCCCCTTTCTTCCTTCTTCTCCTCCACCTTCTTCCACACCTGCCTTGTGGCCCTTCTGGACACTCACTTGCCTTGTGGTGAACTTCCCCTGGTTGGTATCAGAAGTCCAGCCTTCCTATTTTATCTGCACATGCACTGGTTGTTCAGCTTTTAATTAACCAATCAGAGATAATTGGGGACCATTCCTTACACTACATAGATTTAAAAAATCTTCAAAATTCATGGCAATGCACATGACCAGATTGTAAGTAGAACTTGGGGCAAAGAAATCAGCATCTGACAACATACTGCACAAGACCCACCTACAACCTTCTATTTCTTCTTTTAAAAGGAAAGAAATATTCCTATATATTTAAAAGGGAGTATTTCTCCTATTTCTACAATCTTCCCATTTCTTCTTTAAAAAGGAAAGGAATGTATGATAAAATTACACTGTAGAAAATCCCCATCCAAGTTTCTTAATATTTTACATCAAATGTGACTTAATTTACAAAGACGTATTTTTTCATTGCCAAGTACCTAAATACAGCCATGTTATTTTCAAGTTACTATAACTCTAAACCAATATGTTATGTTGGAAATTTCTACTCCAGTGTTAAGGCAATGAAACTGCAATATACAGGATGTGGGGGTTATCTGCCTCACCACTGACAATCAGGTTGGCCATTCCATTTTAGGAGGATATGTCCACAAACTGGAGCACGAACAGGAAGTGCAACTAGGATTAATAGGTAATTCAAAGCCGTCCAGTGATTCAGTGAGTGGTTGTAGGAGCTACGGCAGTTTCCTTTCCAAAGAAGCATGGGAACTGTCATCATCATTTAGAATAATTACATCTACTTGTCCATGTTGTTAGGGTGGAAAAACTAAAGGAAACTATTGCTTTTTATTGAAATTCGATTTTAAAAATAGATTTTATCATACAATACATTTTGATTATAGCTTTCCTTTCCTCTACTCCTCCCAGTTCCTCCAGTCTCTTTCTCTATTAGAAAAGAACAGGCTCCTAAGAGATAACAGACAGACAATATAAAATAAAACATAATAGGATGAAGCAAAAACTTAATATGGAAGTTGGACACAATAACTCAATAGGAGGAAAAGAGTCCTAAGAGCAGGCGAGAGTCTGAGATTCACTCTTTCTCACAGTCAGGAGTTCTGAAACAAAAGAAAACAAAAGCAAAAGACAAAAAACTAAGCCAACAATTATAGTATATATGCAGAGGACCTGCTGTACACCCATGTAGGCTCTGTGCTTGCTGCTTCAGTCTGTGAGCTCATATGTGCCTTGCTTAGTTGGTCCAGAGGACCATGATCTCCTGGTGTTCTCCATCCCCTCTGACTCTTACAATCTTTCTGTCTCCTCTTCCAAAGGATTCTCTGTCCTTTTAGAGGAGGAATTTGATGGAGACTTCCAGTTTAGACTTTGATCCCACATAAGGTCTGAGTGTAGGTCTCTGTATTTGTGAAGGAAACTATTTCAACTCAATTAAGAACTACCTAACCATTAATGTTACCAATCTGCCTGGAGGGATATAATGTCTAATGTTGATTTTCAGGCTGATTGGCTGGACAATTCATTCTGTTCTGTCCTGTTCCGTTCCATTCTATTCCATTCCATTCCATTCCATTCCATTCCATTCCATTCCATTCCATTCCATTCTTTCTCTCTCTCTCCTTCTTCCCTTCTTCTCTTTCCCTCTTCCTGTTTTCCCTCCTCTACCATCCCTCCCCCCACCTCTTTACCTCTCCCTCTTCCTCCCTCTCCTACTATTCCTTACCTCTACCTCTCTGCCCCTCCCTCTTTCTCTTTTCCTAAACACCAGGATGTGAGTTGTTCTTCACCTCTATGCCCTCCCTGCCACAATGGATAGACATCCCTGTAACCATGAATGACCCTATAGAAATCTGTCCTTCCTTGACTAATTTTCTTCAGGTGCTCAGTCACAGCACTTCAAAATGAATACGATGTTGCCCATAATTGCCCATAGGTGCTGGTGAATCAGTTCTAATTCTTATAAGATAATTCAGTCAGAAGGGGTAAGTCTCAAATGCTGGCAGCTGGTGAATCAGTTCTAATTCTTGTAAGATAATTCAGTCAGAAGGGGCAAGTCTCAAGTGCTGGCAGCGACCAGCCTCATTTCTCTCATACTACACACCCAGCACAAGAGCATCTTGCTCTATGACATCTTTCTTCCAAGCCTCAACCTCACAGAAGCACCCTGTGTTTGGAACATTGTCAGTCTTGGAGCAGATTTTAAAAAACATAGGCAAACAAGAGCTGGTATTTTAAGGATTCTGCTTAGGAAAAAAAGAACACATCATTGCTGCTCACATTTTGTGAACCAGAATAAGACATGCATGACCAAGTTTACCACAAATGAGACAAGGAAATCCAAGCCTCCTTGTGGGAATAAGAGGATTACAATATACAGCTCAATCTTCCGAAGTACATGTTTACATCTTTAAGGACATGAACAGTACAGTTCTTCACAATAATTAAAAAAAAACTTTAAGAAGAAACTGAGGTTTGCATTTTTGTAATCGCGCTACATTCTTGGGTTTTCTTTTATTCTCCACAGATGAAACCACTAGGCGGCAACATTATTAATGTCCCCAGTGATGAGCATGGGATTATTCCAGAGGGTCTCAAAAAAATACTTTCCCAGTGGAAACCGGAAGATTCCAAGGACCCCACAAAAAAGTCTCCAAAATTTCTGTATACTGTCCCAAATGGCAACAACCCTACAGGCAACTCGTTGACAGGTGACCGCAAGAAGGAAATCTATGAGGTAATTACAAGGGGGTGACCAGAATGTGTTCTGCTTTCTTGCTTACCTTTCGGAAGAGTCTTAAATTCAAGTTGCTTTTCTTATTACCCCTTAATTTCAGGAAAGACACCTTTTAATAAAAAGGACTCATTCATCTACATCAGGATTCCTACTAACGTGATACACAAAATATTGCCACATCTTTTGTCTCCGAAACTTACTTTTCCTTAATCGGTATTTGAATACATGAAAAATGAAATTCTTTGTTAGCTGTTATGAGAACACACTTGGTTTTCAGCATTGGGTGTCTGCCTTTGCACTGAACCTTAGGCTTGCCTTGTCTGTCTGCTACTCGTCATTTCAGACTACAAAGCATCTTTTAAAAAACAATTTCCAGGATCTCTGTAGGTAGCTATGCTGTCTCATATTTTTTGCCATTTTTACTATCAAGCATATATGGAGCTATATATACATAAATCCAAAAAAAGATCATAACAAATATGCCTTCGGTAAAGTCTTGCTGCTGGACCCAAGTGAGTCCCTAGCCTTTCCTTGCAAATTGTTTTTAAAATAAGTGTTAAGCCCCCATTTAACTACCTGGAAACCTAATTGTGTATACTGAAATCACAGCCAGATTTCAACCAGTTTCCTTTACTTGAAAAATAAAAAGGTTCAAGATATTGCTTTGATATTTATATACAATTTTATAGTCTCTAGTGTAGTATTTTATAAAACAGCAGCGAGGTATAAAGCAGGAGGAGGGAGTACCTCAGGCCTAGTATAAAAGGGAGTATACATAGGGGGGAAGGAGAGAAGACATGTAGAAGGGTTAGAAGCAAAGAAAGGAGGACAGAGAAGGACAGAAAGAGAGGAAGAGAGGAAGAGAGGAAGAGGCCAGGCAGGGACAAGTGAAGAGAGGGGGAGGGAATGGAGAGAGATAGGAGAAAGGAGAGAGAGGGAGAGACAATGGGAGTGGAAGCAGGAGAGGGAGAGGGAGCTGGTAGGGAGGGAGAGAAGGGAGGAGAGAAGGAGAGGGAGGGAGAGATGGAGAGGGAGTAGCTAAGCAGTCCTTATAAGCTAAGTCAGCTAGCAACTGGAACAAACTGTTGCTAGGTAATTGTTGGGCAGATGGGCGGAGCCTTCATGAATTGCTAACACCCAGGCCTCTGTCCTGAGTTCTATGCACTACGTATATTTCTCCCTAAGATAGCATTATCCAATGCTATCCATCGTTATAGATTTCATTTTCTTTAAGATGATTTCGCCTTGGACAGCTCCACCGCTTCTCCGAACTCCAACTTGTGAATCATTGTGCTAGCTCCATAGATATCCAATCACATTTCAAACTTAATCTGGCCCAGATAGAACTCCTGGCTTTTCCTAGCCCCAACCCTAAAACTCTCATGTACAGCCAACCCCTCCATGCTCTCCAGCCTCATAAATAATGTTCATGAACAATTCCCTTCATTTCTCTCTTTCTATTCTCTCTTCTCCTCTGTTATATCCAATCCATCCTGTGGACTTCACTGTCAAGATTTTCTAAGCCCATCCTTTTGCTCCACCATTGCTTCCAGCCCCGTTTCCTAAGCCACAGCCTGTCCACACTCTATGATAGCATGACGTCATCACTCACCCTGTTGCATTTGGCCCAGAGTGTCTAACTGACCGTCGCATTTGCATGTCAAACAGTCCTAGCCCCTGCTGTATGGTAAATGAAAAGTCAGCCTTGCAGCTTTTCAAATTCTGTATGGTGCCACCATCACTCTCTCTGAATATCTCTCTCTCTCTCTCTCTCCCTCTCTCTCTCTCTCTCTCTCTCTCTCTCTCTCTCTTTCTCCTCTCACCTGCATTTCATGCATCCCATATGCCAAAGCCACATCATACTCTTCTGTCTGTTAGCCATCCTAAGTTTTTGCTCACCCCACAATCTCTGCTTTCATTCATCCCTCTGTCTATAATCCTCCTTCTTAATATTTTTGTAGCTAATTTATTCTGATCACCTTGAGTTTTAATCTTAACTTGTTGGGAAGAGCTCCACAGAGCTTTGACCTGAGTAACTATCTGTCTTAGTTAGGGTTACTGTTGCTGATGAAACACCAGGACCAAAGCAACTTGGGGAGGAAAGGATTTATTTGGCTGAAGCCTGCTTCCATGTCACAGTTCCTCACCAAAGGAAGTCAGGGCAGGAAATCAAGCAGGACAGGAACCCAGAGGCCGTGAGCAGTCCTGCTTACTGGCTTGTTCCCCATGGCTTGCTCAGCTGCTTTTTTATATAACCTGGGACCACATGCCCAAGGATGTAACCACCCACAATGGACTGGGCCTTTCACGTCATTAACTAATTTAAGAAATGCCTTACAGCTGGATCTTATGGAGGCATTTCTTAATTAATGTTCTGTCCTTTCAGATAACTCTAGCTTGTGTCAAGTTGACATAAGACTTGCCAGCAAGTGATCTTACCACTCTTTCAGATGTGACCATTATTTAATTGCCAATATTTAATTACCTAACTGACCTGTTCACATTCCATCTTCCATGAGAAAAAGAGCTCATTCGTATCCATCTTCAATGTTTGGGATAACAGGAACTTACTAGCTCATGAGTGAATGAGAACACAGAATTGTGATTCCAGATAATCTTCATTGTAGACAGTTCTTAAGAAATAAATATATTGCTTTAACCTTTCAGCTGGCGAGAAAATACGATTTCCTCATCATAGAAGATGATCCTTACTATTTCCTTCAGTTCAGCAAGGTACGTGATGCTGTGGGCTTCCATCACTGTCAACAGATCATTTGTTGTAAGTCATTAGTGGCATTGGACTCTAACCTGGTTTGAGTCAAAGCTATCTGCTCTCCCAGTGAACTTGTGTAAATAGTGAGTTCTCTATAGTTTTTCACTCTTACCGTTTTCCCAGCCTTCTTTTTTGTATTAATGCTTGGTCTAGAAATTACTTTTAAAATAGTAGCTAGCAGAACCAATCAGGCTGGTGGTGCTGAATTCCAAATCCTACATCATATTACCTCAGACGTCACATGAGGAACACGGCATGGGTCTCATCTTGTGTTTCAACTTCAGTCTAGTAACGGCAGTTGACTAGAATGATGGCTAAAGGGGGACTGAGATGGTACTCAGGCTGAAGGAGAAGTAGGACTGTGCTGACTCAATACTATGCATAGATAGAGAAAGCACTGCAGCCGCGAATTGCATCCTTGTCACCTGCTCTTAAGCGCCGTGGGTTTTTAAAGTCCTCCTCGATATATGTATGGTGCATGTAATTTTAAAAACATGCTTGCTCCTTTGCCCAGAACCGCGCTCTTGGCTTAACCCTGCGAAAGGCCAGCTGGCCATTTTCCCTGGGAACTACAAATGCTCCCTCAGCCCCTCATGGTTAGTTAGCTTTGCCAAGCCTCCATCAACTGCCCTGGCTGCCCTCTTTCTCCTCCTGCCCACCTTAGTGCTTTGGATGGGAAACATTAGACAGTTTTATTATTTTAAAACTAGCCAGATAATTCAATGGCTGGGCGAAGACTTTCCTGCCCTAATCTTATCAACTAGCTCCCTCCATCTTCCTTACCCTTCCCCTTCCCCCGCTCATGGCAGAGGGCTACAAACTCTAGGAGCCCCAAGACCTACATGTCTGTTGCTTCTTCCTCACTTTAAAACCTGGTCTGAAAACTTTTTTCTACAGCGCTTCTCTTCCTCTTGGGACACAGAAGTCCCACCTTTTTCCTTACGCCCAACAATTGGCTTTTGCCTCCTTTACTGACGCTATCAAGAACCAATTAGTGGATGAACACCTCCATCTTCATATGTGTATGCTACACTTCATGATAATCATTTTCTAGCAGGCAATAGCACTATTGTGTGCCCCCAGGACTCTCAACATCCATCCTATAAGTAGATTTACATCTACTGAGAAGACACAAAACTTGCTGCTTTGCTGCATAGCTGTGCAGAGCATCATATGCCCTCCCCTTCCACCCTGAGTGTGACCATGAACCTCTTTCGAACTTGACCCTACATTCTAAGAAAATCTTAGTGTCCATATGCAGCAGTAACTAAATTCCTCACCTGCATTCACATCAGTTTTTATCTTTCTAGTCAATTCCAAAGATCAACTCAAAATGGTACTGGTCATCTTGAAAGAACTTTTCGTCTTATCTGAAATCATTTCTGCAATGTAGGGGGTTGGTCTGGTGCTACTGTTGGACCTTTAGATCCAGATGGGGAAGACACGCTCCCACAGAAACACTCACGGACAGGGGATTCGATGCATAGCAAGAGGTTTATTGATCCAGCGCACTGGGATTCCCCTGCACGCAGGCTAGAGGAACACTGAGCTAAAGCTAAGAGCAGTTTTTATACAGTTTTCACAGGGCTTATGAGGGCAGTTTTACAATCACCTCTTAGACAATGCTAACCACAAAGATTGACCTCAAACAGCCTCTCCCACGCCCAGTTTCTTGGCAACTCATATTTGCACATTATCTTGTGACAATGAGTGTTAGCTAAGTCTATCTTACCATAGCTCCTGTTTGTGCAGGTTTATTTCGCTAAGGGCCCAGCTTCCTGATTACCGCTTATCTTATCTTGGGCCCTTTCCTGGAGTGTGTGTGTAAATCTTTGGAATGTGCTTCTCCTGGAATGTGTCTTTGGAGAAGTTAATTTTTAAGTTTAGACTGAGACCTGAGATTCCTTCACTATTTATATTTAAATGCTAAATACTGGCTTTCAAGATCTGGTTGCCCCTCCCATGAGCAGATCCTCACATACACCAAGTGATGCTATGTAAACCTTGCTTCTCAATTTAACTGGTCAATAAAAGGCTAGAGCTTGTGATTGGGCAGTGGAGGGAGAAAGGTGGGACTTGAAGAGCAAGAGAAGGGTCTCAGGAAAAACCCAAAGGGAGAAGAAGAAATGACACAGAGAGTGGAGGAAGCCTCCATGAGAGGAGTTGGACCATGAGCATGTGGCTAGGAAAAATAACAAGTAACAAGGGACATATGGTTGAGAAATAATTTAGAACAGCTGCAAACCTGCCTAATCCAGACTTATGACTTGCAAATAAAATACCTGGATTGTGTGTCTTTTATACAGGCTAACTAGAATTTGTAATTCCTTCACATTCCTGAGCCTTTGCTCTGAATCTAAAATAATATTAAATTTCAATGCCAGGAGGCAAAGAGGGCTTGTTTGAAGTTTCTCCAAATTCATAGTAATGTCATCTTGAGCAAATAAAGAAACCTTTGTGAGCATACTTAGCAAAGAAACCCAGAGGTCAGGAAGACACTAGTAAAAGAACACACACTTCACAGGTCTTAGAGCCTAGACAAGAGTAAAATGTAACTGCTATATGTGCCCAGTCTGTGCCTGTTTGCCTTCATCCACGCTATGCAAAGTAACCTTACAGTGACCAGAGTTTGCAAACCAACCGTGATTTTCTTCCTCCTTCAGCCTTGGGAGCCAACCTTTCTCTCCATGGATGTTGATGGGAGAGTGATCAGAGCTGACAGCTTTTCAAAAATCCTCTCCTCAGGGTAAGGCTCGTGTATTTAACTCGATGTCAATCTTATAAAGCTTTTAGTTCAAGGAATTCTCTTATAGAAATCTTGTATTCTACTTGCCTAAAAATCCACTTACTCATTAATAGGTTTGTGGGTATTTTACTCTCTTTATTATTTTCTAGTGTTCAAAAATGCTTGACTATTACTCTAAGTTGTAGAAGAATGATCAGCATTCTGGAAGCTTATATTAGAATACCATGTTTAGACATTCTTAATATTTGCATTTTTTATCATATAAACTTATATTTAAATTTTTTTAAAGAAGAAGTAAATACTTTGATTAGAATATATGAGACATCAAGATATCTTTGGCCCCAAGCCATCTCTTTTCTAGTGAAACAGCAAAATGATTCACATTAGTTGTTTATGTGGAGTTTGAATAACACCTTTTCTCTGTCTTCATAGGTTGAGAGTAGGGTTTATGACTGGTCCCAAGACCTTGATAGAGAGGATTGTTCTCCACACACAAGTCTCATCACTACATCCCTGTACACTCTCACAGGTAAGCACAATGTAGGATATTATTTTTATCAGAATCACTAGGCAAATAAGATTAGTTTAAGCTGACAGGGAAGAAAAATCAAATGCTGAATCTCCATTTCCTAGACAGAATTAGTAGATCAGCATCTGCAGAGGCTTAATCTAAGCAACAAATGAGAAATCATTTAAGCTAGTGTCTTGATATTTGCCTGCCCAGAGTCCTTATGAATCAAAGTATATCACCTGTGTCTCAGGCAGGATGCTACAGGTCAGTCAATTAATAAGCATTTTTTTGAACAATTGTAGAGCTAAACAAAATAGAACTGAATTTGATGAAGTAACTCAAACTTCATTGTGTTAGAATTTATAATGAATTTAGTGCTTTATAATTTATAATGGAAGTTAGTACTTTCCTGCTCATTTCTCGGCTGCCCCTAAAGCCATTCATCAGTAAGCATTTTAATTAAAATAAAGTCTGGAGATTGAATAAATTTCCTCACAAGCTTTGGAAACTACTGGATTTAGAAATGATTGTGATCTTGAGATTTAGATCCTGTGTGCATGCGTGCATCTGTTCCTGCATATGTGTAAGTATGGATGTGGGTGAGCACCCATGTGTGCATATGTGTGTACAGATCACAGGTCGGCTTCACATGTCTTCTATTCTTCCCATGTTATTTTGGGGGGCAAAGTCTCTCACTGGACCTGGAGCTCACCTATTTGGATAGGTTGGCTGGTCAATGGGCCCCTTGGATCCTCCTGTGTCCACCTCTCCAGTGCTGGTATTACAGGTTCACACTGGCTTTTAAGTTGGGTATTCTGAATTGGGCCCTTTCATTGGCATTGCAAGCTCTTTATCAACTGAACCATATCTTCAACCATCAAAATGAAAAGTTTATACCTCAAGGATTCTTGTTTTGTAAAATATAAATGTCCAGTATGTAACCAAATAAGGAACTTTTCCCGTAGTTTTAGATCTTATCAGCAAAATTTTGTTACATCATTTAGAGCTCCACCATGTTAAATAGAAAACCTCTCCATATTTAATATGGAATATACCTTCCATAAACATCTGGAGGACTAGGGCTATAGCTCAGTGGTTCAGTCCATGCTTAGCAGTCATTGGGACTTGGGTTTGATCCCTCACAGCAATAAAAAGGAAAGAAAAACAAAATATTATGTATGTTCTCTAGTTGACCTAGGCAATTATACTCCAGGGGTCAATATCATAGATCTGGAGCTGGAAAATCTGTCTTGGAATCCAAGCTCTATGATCAGTTCTTTGACATAAAGAAAATTAGCCTTTGTGCTTCAGTTTCTTTATCAGTAGAGCAGAGCTAACATCCCTTAAGTATTATGAAGGTTCAAATAGACAGATCTGTTAATATATTATAGTAGAACCTGGCATATAAGAAAGCTTTGTATTTAAAGGAACGTTTTGCTTTGGTTGGTTGGTTGGTTGGTTGGTTGGTTGGTTGGTTGATGTGTGTCTGTGTGTGTGTGTGTGTGTGTGTGTGTGTATTTGAGTATGCAAGAGGCCAGAGGTCAGCATCAGGTGTTTTGTTTTGTTGTAAGACAAGGTTTCCCACTAAACCTACAGCCTGCTTGCTAGCAAGCCTCAGGAATTCCCGTGCCCCTGACCTCAATCACTCAATCACTGAAGTTATAAGTGCACATGTTTCTAAAAAGATAGAGAGGAGGAATAGGCTTTGTAGGTGTAATGTGAGGTGTGGGGAAAGGGATTGCCTCAGTGGGCCCAAGCTGAGACATTCCTTCTCCCTGAGGGACCAGCCACACATGACAGTATAGTGTAGAATAGAGTATTCAGGGCATGAGGAGGCGAGTTAAGAGGGTAGTAGAGACAGAGAAAG